CACAAATTACAAGGGTGCTTTTATGAATACGATTACCATGACGATCGTCATTATTTTAACTTCCGTTTCCTTTCTTTATGCGTCTAATTATCTAACAACTCCTCGTCCTTTCGCGTTTGTATACACGAAAAGGACGGATAGTAGAAAATAAAGGGAAAGTTTCCTCTCAACACTTCATTCACTGTGTCAACACAAGGAAATACGTTTTATATCCGTACAACGAAGGAGAAAATGGCTGGTTATTCTTTTCTCCCCACTCTTATTGCAATTAATACGCTATTCACAAACCTCTGTTTATTTCTCTTTTTGTGTTAAAGCTGACCATATTGTTGAATTGAAGCACAGGAAGCGATGGAGAGAGCAGTAAAAAAAAAATTTTGATTCAGAGACTGCCTCTATTTTGCCTATTTTTTAATTTATAATTGACTCGATGTTTACAGATTAATTGTCCTTCCCTTAACGTAAACAATCAAGAAAAATTATTATTTGAAGATTATTTAAGTTTACATAAACATCTAGACTATATTTAGTTGAAACCAACGCACAGAGAGTGAGTGTGGCAGTTAGTTTTTCAATGAACTGTTATTTCTTTTTTTAAATGTTTACTTACACAGCTCATTTGCTGTCTATTTGTGTGAGAACAGAAGGTGGATTTTCTGATCAAAAATGGTAAAATGCGACTCTTCATCGATAAATTCCTCTTTACATATATTTCTACAAATATTCCCAAAACATAGCTTTGTAGAGTAAACATCTGATGAAGATCTGATGTATCTGTTCAAGTGGAAGAACTTTTCCAGACTTTTTAAATTTCATCTTTAGACTTATTTAATCAACGTTATACCAATGTGCAACCATCGTCGTTCTCCAATGCTTTTCTATGTTCTTGAATATCGAGAATTAATAAAAATGCTGACAGGAATAGATCTTTCATGGAAGGAAGCGTTCCAATTATGTAACAAAAACCGGGCCAGCTTAGCTGAAGGGAAACGCCAACCGTTTATAGATCCGTCAAAAGGGTGGCTGGCATGGTGCAACTCGTTACCATATAAACCTGTCAATCCATCGTGCTCTAAAATTGTTGTTGGGTAAAAACTCCCTACTAACGAGCATAATCAACAATTAGCGAAGATTCGTAGCCACAATGACTAACCTTTTGTTTTGGCTTTTTTCCTGTATTGTCTGTTGATTTTTCAATAAAAAATAAAGCCCTATTACATCCGTAATCAAACACAGAAACAAAATAATCTGACCCTTTAATATAGTTTCTGACATTAAGTTGATAATTGAAGAAAGATAATTTCCGTGTATGTGGCAATGATTGCGATGCTACATGCTATTCTGAAGAACCTCTGATATTTCCGTTCAAATGGCAACGTCAAAATTTGAAAATTGAAACTTAAACTTTTAGGTCATCGAAGCAAGGTTTGGATTTTAGTTTGAGATGAGATTGCTATTCTAAATAAAGAAGAACCCTAGCAATGTCTCGAGAAATGAGTTAGGATAAGTAGTACTACAATTAGCAGATTAACTATTTTGTTGAAATTTCTACTTTGACACATATACAGTTCAAGTTAGATGGAAGATGTATTGACAACTTCGAACGACATATTTCTGCTCGTTATGCAGCTCAGTTGTAGTGGAAAATGTGTAACAATTGTTAACGATTCGATCTTTTTTTATGACAAGCGCCATAATGCACGTCTATTCCTTTGTATAGATAAGTATTATTGTCCTATTGTCACATTATCTTACTCTAAGAAATTTTTTATTTCATTTATGGCTGAAAGTGAGCGCTATTGCATTTATCATTTGACTCGGAAACTGAATGTAATTACCCATAAAGAAGACGGTATCAAAGCCTCATTATTAATAAACACAAGTAATTTATATATCGTATTATATTCAACCCTTACACCAATCATTCTGGAGAATTTTTCGAACGTATCGGCATTCGGCTTATTAAGCTCCCTGACAAATGCGCTCCATGCTTGTTGGACATAAGTATCAGTGTCACTAGGTCGCTAGCATTTAACCTCTTTTTTGATGATACATTTTTCCCTAAAATTTACCACTTGAGGCAAAAAGTTTTATGACATTAAATAGCCAGTTCATCAAAGTATATTTGACATTATTTGAATTTTAACAAAGCACACTTTCGATTTTTCGCCAAATGTCCACGTAATTGCCCACTGTGTTATGGGAAAACAGCATACCTAAAGGAGATAAATGATCGAACAATGTCTATGGTAAAATTAGAATTTAATCGTAATATTTTTCACAATTTTATATATTTTAGAAAAGAACAGTCGAGGACATGTTCTAAGTGATGCCACGAATTCGCACATTATTTTTTTGTTAACTAAATTTAAAAACGATAAGACACTTCAGAAGATGAACAATAAGTCCGACTTTTTGAATATAATAAGGTCAAGCAAGATTCATACAATAACACATGTATTCGAAGTTTTTTTCTTATCATTAGACTTCGCTGTATTGTAATCCAATGTGAGACGATCTAATGCGCTAACGAGACGAACAAATTGATCTTTATACAATGTTTTATTGTATTTTTTTATATATCGATCACGTATATCAATATATTCTGATTGCCAGTCAGGTTTCAAACTTTGTGAATAGAAAATCAGATCATCGCCCGTTTGAAATTCATAAAGATATCTTAATTCTGATCGAATATGATTTTGATCAAACCAATTATTGATATCTATTGTGCTCCACTGACTGATCGGTTTTGCTATTAATTGTTGTTTCATTTCGTCGGTTATTTTCGAATCATTATCCTCATCCACTTTTTTTGTATAATCATCTGATTTATTTAGCTCTTTCTCGATATTTTTTGTTTGTTGTTTTTCAATAGTTTCAACTTTTTCCGTTACTGGAACAACGGAATGTTTCTCCGAGTCTTTTTTCTCACTTTTACCATCATCTAATATTAGTTTCTTTAACTCCGTCATAGTTTCATCAAATGATTTTTTACCAAAACGAATATATTGTGGTCCAACAACGCGTATACCTAACCATCCGGTTGCTTGAAAATCTTTTTGAACATAAATTGGAATAAAACGTTTTTTTAATGAATCCTTGGTATACATAACTTCTTGACGACACGATTTTGAATCATAATAGTCTTTTGTCATCAAAAATAGAACAACATTCGCTTTTTCAATAGCACAACCAATTTCTTCCCATAAATCTTCTGTATGGCAGTAGGAAAAGTCAACCCAAATATCGAATTGATTATCTGTTAATACAAAACCACAAGAACTTCATGATAAATGTTATTTCAAAAGTTAAAAAATTAACTATTTTACCAGACTTCATAAAAGAACTATACCTTTTCTGAGTGAATCGACTAGTTGTTGACAAAATTTAACATCGCTATGTGAATAACTAATCATAATTAGTAATCGATTATTCTTATCTGTTGTGTTTGATTTAAGTTCAGTACTACAAACTACCTGTTCTGATACGGTGACCGTTGATGTTTGAGAAAGACGAGCTGGATTATTTTCATCTAAATTCCATAGTATTCCATTTGCTGCTTTTTTGACTGAAGACATATGTTTTGGAACATATTGATCAACTAAGGATCCACCGTCATCGTTCGCCAAACTCTTAACTGTAAGTAAAAACTTTGTATTTGATTTTAATTCTTCAACGTATTGATCATGAAATGATATCGACCAAACAATGTTGAATAATGCACAGCATGTTAACTGATCTGTTTCATCGTCGTTCGCCAATGCACCACGAAAACTTATTAGGGTATCACTAAAGAATTGTATAACTGATGTTTGCGGTTTTGTTACTTTTGCTTCATTTAAAACATAATGTAAAATATCATCATGTACACATAATTTTGTTAAAACGACAATTGGTTCACTAATGTGAAATCCATTTGCTTTAAAATTTCTTGTTAATGATGCATCGATTGCTGTTTGCAGTAATTTATCTAATATTTTATCGACATTTTTTGAATCTTCTTTATTCTCTTTTGGATCAGACAATAATGATATTATCATACAATAAAGTAAATTTATATCTGGATGTGCGCCTTTATTAACATCTAATACACATTTTTTGTATTTTTTTAATACTTCAATGGCATTACATTTGTTCAATACTTCTGCACCATTGTCATGTCGTGCCAAATTATGAATGATGCTAATAAGTGGTCGTTGATGTTTCATGCTTAAACTTTCTATATCTATCCATTTAATAACAAATTCATGATAATTAGCATTTATAAAATTGGGAACTACTATTGTATTATCGACTACAGCCCAGATAAATTCACAAATTATTGTGATAATATCAACATTTAAAAGCAATGAATGAGTTGATACTATAGAAGAAATTGTTTCTTCAGTAAAAAATTTGTCGATATACTTGGCTAAGGCATTCAATATGAATTCCTGATTTTTAAGATCATTTTTTGCGAATGTTACATGTTCTGTTATTTGTTTTTGTAAAAGAACAATTATTGTCAGTATTGTTTCATAACATGTTGATAAATCGGATGAGACGTTTTTATTATTCAAATATTTTACCATTGAATTTGAGCTTAATATATCAAATTGAGAATAAAATATTTTCCGAACATAATCACTAGTTACTTGACCACTGGTAATTGTATTCATAAAAGCACCCTTGTAATTTGTT